ATATTAATAATAATATATATTATTATATTATTATATATTATATATATTTTATATTATATAATATATAATTTATATATTATATAATATATAAAATATATATAAAAATATAAAATATAAGAAATAAAATATAATAAAAAATATATTACAATAAATATATAAAAGTAAATGGGAAAAAAACATATTTTGCTTGCAGAATGGTAATTTACCAGCAGGGTTTAAAAAAAATTATTAAATGACTTAAGTATTCATTAAATATTCATTTTAAACATTTACATTTTTCTCAGATATTTTAAGAAGTTCCAGTACTGCTCTTATGCCCCACATGTCCGAAAGTGTAAACCGAAATCAGACTATCCAGACAAGCATGTTCCGCCCCATGTATAACCTCTCCTACGTGTGAATATCTCATTCTGCTTTCATTTAGTTTGAAATATAATTAGTCCTCTAATTTGTAGTGATATGTTCATGTGCTATTTTGTGCTGTTATGTGCTAGTTTTTGCACATCGGACTCTCGTCTTTTGAAGATCTGCTTGCTAATGTGGTTCTTCGTGTGTCCGTGTGGGTCATGGCTTTTATCACCTGCTTTGGAAACCTCTTTGTCATCGGGATGCGGACAGTCCTGCGGGCTGAGAACAACCTGCATGCTCTCTGCATCAAGGTTTTGTGCTGTGAGTACCAGAGGTATCCATTTGACCTACTCAAACATTATATTAAACGCTAAATATTTTTTATATGAGTTAAAAGCACACATACATACATCTGTTTTGGGGTTTATTTCTACTATAACTGGCTGACTGTCATGAAACCAATGTGACGCAAACAGAAGCAGCTGGCACTCCTGAAAACAAGCTGTTTTCTAGGGCACCGAGTGCTCAAATTATAAGTGTTCTAGCACTGATAATGTTCTCTCAATTGTCTCGAGGATTACATATAGCAAGCTATATCTCAATTATCCATTTACTTTAAAGGGGACATCGGATGCCCATTTTCCACAAGTTGGTATGATTCTTTATATACTTTGGTTAAAATTCCTCAATGATTGTGTAAAACAACACCCTTTTTAACTTGTCAAAACCAGCTCTGTTCACAGTGACCCGTTTCGGTGCATGTCTCTTTAAATGATAATGAGCTAACACACATTCCACCCCTCTCTTCCATTTTTTTGTGTATTCGGTGAAAAAAAAATAAAACTAATCTACTGCGTCTTCAGTGGCTCTGATGTCGGGAGAAAATGAAGACTCTTTTGTTCACTTTTACATTCAACTACCGTCATACTGCTCAGAAAATCAAAACAGCTTGATAATTGAGACTTTAGGTTTTTTGGGGATTAAAAAAAAAGGATTTTTATTATTGTAGGCTGGTTGTGTCCACACACTGCTAAGACATTTATATGTAAACACCTTGTAAAAGTGAATTTTTCCTCCGATGTCCCATTTAAAAATGATGTGGGTTTCGTCAAAGAACTCTCCCTCCCCTTATGCTTTCAGAAATCAGATACTTGCAACAGCAGTTGACACCTTCTCTTCCATTTTTATGTGTATTCAGTTTTGCGTTACTATCAAAAACAAAACTAATCCACTGTGTCCTCAGTGGTTCTGATGTCAGGAGAAAATGCAGACTCTTATGTTCACTTTTACATCAAACTACAAAATACCTGCATTGCTTACAAGACACTGTTGTCGCTACAGCTGCTTGCCGGAATTGACGGACAGCGTACAACTGACTGAGGGTGGAAATATGCTAATACGGGACAGTCCGTCAGCGGTTGTGGGCGGGCCTGAGCAGTATGCTCAGAAAATCAAAACAGCTTGATAATTGAGACTTTAGGTTTTTTGGGGATTAAAAAAAAAAGGATTTTTATTATTGTAGGCTGGTTGTGTCCACACACTGCTAAGACATTTATATGCAAACACCTTGTAAAAGTGAATTTTTCCTCCGATGTCCCATTTAAAAATGATGTGGGTTTCGTCAAAGAACTCTCCCTCCCCTTATGCTTTCAGAAATCAGATACTTGCAACAGCAGTTGACAATATTATTTAGTTCTGGAAGAGCATGTCTGAGATATTTGAAAACCAGGTCCTCTTGCTGTCAGTCCCCTTTAACCAAAGAGTCTCCCTGTTGACAGTCTCCTGCCTGACATTCACCTTGAAAGGCTGTCGTGATTGGACGGGAAATCTATAAACTTGTAACAATTCTATTCGCACAGGACTCGTTCTCTATTACAATCAGCTTCAGTAATCAAATCTAACTCTTGCTGGAGTTCTTGAGCTGGTTTCATTAATCCCTGTTTGTCATGGGAAACACTTCCATTTTAGCCTGCAATGTCAGTACCACTTGTGCTTTGGTCACAAACCTGTGCTATGCCTCGTAAAATTGATTTCTGGCCTGCTGGTGTTGTGATTTGTCTTTTAAAAATAAAATGTTATATGTGCAGGAAAAGCGCCAACATTCTGGCGCAAGACCAAATTATAAATCAGAGGCTTTTAGGAAGCTACTTGTTCATTAATGAGTTCTACTTCTGGCATCCAGTGAGTAATAGCTATTTACCACAATGCTTCATTTGTCCCTAGGTGCAGATTGCCTGATGGGGGTCTATCTTTTTTTTGTGGGGTTCTTTGATGTGAAGTTCCGTGGCGAGTACAACAAGAATGCTAAGCTGTGGATGGACAGCCTGGAGTGTCGTATCATCGGCTTCCTGGCTATGCTGTCCTCTGAGGTTTCCGTCATGATGCTCACTTATTTGACCATGGAGAAGTTCCTAGTCATTGTTTTTCCTTTCAGCCACCTGCGACCGAGCAAATGCCAAACATTCACCGTTTTAACCTCTATATGGCTGCTGGGTATCTCTATAGCTGCAGTGCCTCTGCTTAATGAGGAGATGTTTGGGAATTATTACGGACACAATGGAGTGTGTTTCCCTCTTCACTCTGAAGGTCTGGAGAAGCCCATTGCAAAGGGATATTCCATTGGAATTTTTCTTGGTGAGTTCTGCCATTGGTGAAAAACATATGATGTATAATAGATATTTTTGATCTTTTGTAATAAAGAGTTATTGCAGTCCAGATCTCCAATCCCTTTCCCAGTACACAAAGACCATTCATTACATCTAAGCTGCAAAAATGTGAAGTCACATCCTCAAGCTTAATAACATATGACCCCCTCATCTATTGGACTATCTGATTTTTAAAAAAGAATTTGCTGCTGTAAAGGTTTAAGGTCAGTGAGAATTTAACATTTTCTTGAAATAAGTTATATTAGTTATATAAGGCTGCATTTATTTGATCAAAAATACAGTAAACGTGAAATATTTTTTACAATTTAATATAACTGTTTCTATTTTAATATATTTTAAAATATTTATGATTAATTTATTCATTTGATGGCAAAGCTGAATTTTCAGCAGTCATTACGCCAGCCTTCAGTGTCACATGATCCTTCAAAAACCATTCTAATATTCTGATTTGGTGTTCAGAAAACATTTTCTCTTGTCAGTGTTGAAAGTTCTGGAATATACAGTATGTTATACTGTATGGAAACTGTCAAAGTTTTTTTTTTTTGTATTGTTTGATGAATAGAAAGTTCAAAAGAACAGCATTTATTTGAAGAAAAAAAAAAAACTTTGGTAAATTAAATGTCTTTACTCTCATTTTTGATCATTTTAATAAAAGTATTAATTTCTTATTCAAAAAGCTTGCTGACCCCAAACTTTTGAATGGTAGTGTATTTCACTAAACTTTTTATTTTTTATTTTTATTTTTTTTATTATTACTCATTATGTACGCATAGAAATTAGCCAATCATAACAAATGTCATTTACATATTCTTGGTGATATAGTATGCAAAAACCACCTGTTTCATTCTAAGGGTCAGAAACAGGGTGGTATATGTCATGTAAAACTAAATGATGACTAGTTTAAAACTAAATATATTCTTGTTTTGATGCTGTAAACTTTGACTAACAAATGTGGAGAAAGCTAAAATAATAAAAATAAAAAAAACTGGAATATGGCCACTTTAAAACTTAGAAATGCTGTCTCAACCTCAATATTCTGAAGAATATCTGTCTTGTGTTTGTGCCACATATTGTTAATTACTACTGATGACACTCGATTATTCACGGCACCAACCATACTGAACTGATGAAAGCTATTTTCCAGCACATTAAGCCATATGCTTAGCGGCACACTTAAGAAACCTCTTAGTCACAGTACAGAAGATGGCGTTGACCTGTTTTCATTATGTTTTGTGCTGTTGTTCAATCTGAGTTTTATGTTTATGCTTGTAGGACTTAACCTGGTGGCCTTCCTCATCATTGGCGTGTCCTACTCCAGCATGTTTTACTCCATCTATAAGACTGGCATCAATGCCACAGAGCTGCGTGGACGGCTGCACAGGGATGTGGCAATGGCACACCGCTTTTTCTTCATCGTGTTCTCTGACGCCCTCTGCTGGATTCCCATTTTCCTGGTCAAAATCCTCTCCCTGCTGGAAGTTGAGATACCAGGTTAGTTGGTCCTAAAGCTACATGAAAGATTTCAAATAAAACAATGAATGCACTATATATTTTACTTAAGGAAAATCTCTTTTATATTTTATGTCTCTCTCAGGGACAATCACGTCTTGGGTAGTGATCTTTGTCCTTCCCATCAACAGTGCCTTGAATCCCATCCTGTACACTCTGACCACCAGTTTCTTCAGAGAGCAGGTGGAACTTTTAAGGTGTCATTGGCATAGACAGCCAAGACTCAGACAGGACCGCAAGAGCCTCACCAGCTCTGCTATCCACACGGACCCCTCAAGGTCTTCTTTCTGCCATCACAACTACAACCCACAGACCAGAGCCGATCCTCCCTATACGCAAAATATGCAAGTTGCGTAGGTCCCCCGAAACACCAGGGGGCCCCCTTGCTCTCAAAGATGATTTAATTTTAGTTTCGTTTTTGAATTTGACCAGCGGTTATGAAAACATGAATGATCATTTCTTTTAATGCGGTCGCCCTTTCTAAGTAAAAATCAATCAAATCATGTAACGTGAATGTCGTACAGTCTTGCTCGAGACTAAAAAAATGAGTTGAAAGCGTACCGAGCCGTGGAAAAGACAATGTTTCTCAAGCACAAATGCGTTTCATTCATTCGTTCATAACCACTCAACCAACCCTCCCCCCTCCCGCCGACACAGCTTTGCGTAGGGCCCCCAGAAGTCTAGGATCGGCACTGCCACAGACATCTATCTTAGACATAGATGGCAGGTATAGGTGACGATGTTCTATATTATGGAAGTTGCATTTGTCTGTAGTGGATCTACAGAGTTTTTGGAGTGCTAGAGCACAATGACAATATCTTGGTAGAGCCTCTTCACTGATGAATAATCGTGGATTGTGATCAGATGCTATAATGAAGGCCTACAATTAGATATCTAAAGATATTATGGTTGGACAATAATAAAAAAGCATTAAGATTAAACATAAAGTGCAAGATATCCTGACACTGTGCTCTCACGTTACATCATAAAAGGCATTTAAAACGGCTGAATCTGTTATAAACTTGCTAGTCCATTTCAGATCATAAACTGATCTGTTTGGTGAGATGTGTCTTAAAGGGGTCATATGATGCTGCTAAAAAGAACATTATTTTGTGTATTTGGTGTAATGAAATGTGTTTATGCGGTTTAAAGTAAAAAAAACACGAGCCGTTTTAGGTAGGTGTGGCTAACTCTTAACTTTTATAAAGAATATCTCTTTGGATTTGAGACTTTAGTCTTTGCAACTTTACAGATCTTCTTTATGCACCAAGAGCTTGTAACACTCTAAAGAGAAAGGAAAAAATGAAATCGCATCATATGACCCCTTTAAGACACAATTGTCAATTGACAGAGGTTTGGTTGACTTTTAAACTGCAACAGCCAACAGTGGGCATATATTTGTATTTTGCATATGTATATGTTGAGTTATTCCTTTTTTAATATTGTAAATGTGTATTAAGTGACAAAGAAAGACAAATCCCAACAAATGTTGCATGTTGTTTTCTCTGGAAAAAAATATACAATTTTAATTATTTGACATTTGTTTCTGCATAATAAAAATATATATTGTAAATATAAACGCTTTACTACTGTTTTACTTGGAGTAGTAAATATGAAAAATTGAGCTGGACTTAATAACATCCTACATTTATTCAATCATGACATTCCTCAGCAATGTTTGCCATAATAAAGACTGTATTAATCACGAGTATAATCCACAAGTCAGTCGACTTGGCGACCATCTTGGTCAAGCCACCGGAAGCTATTCAAGTGCATCTCTAATCTCTTTGAACAGAAAAAGAGCGAAACCTCCAAAACCGTTTGTCAATGTTACGTTTACATACCATATTTCAACATACCCCTACCCCTACACCCCTACATAAGAGTAGGGGTATAACACCGGCATCCTGGCCAAATTTGCCCATTGGCCTCCGACCCTCATGGCCTCCTAATCATCCCCATACACTGATTGGCTTCATCACTCTCTCTCCTCTCCACCAATAAGCTGGTGTGTGTTCTGGCGCAAATGGCTGCCGTCGCATCATCCTGGTGGATGCTGCACACTGGTGGTGGATGAGGAGATTCCCCCCCTTTCATGTAAAGCGCTTTGAGTACCCAGAAAAGCGCTATATAAATTTAATGAATTATTATTATTATTTATTATGCCATATTTGAACTGTGACAACAATTGTTGTGATAGCTTAAATTACACAACATTTTTTTCAGTCTGGCCCAGCTAATGGACATGTGCATTCAAGAGTAAACAAACAGGTGCGTTGTCCAAAAAACAACAACAACAAAAAAAACTACTCTGGTCTACTTTTTAAATTGATTTTAATATTTTTTTTTGCATTAAAACCGCTAATTTCACAGTTGTTCATGGCAACATACACTTAACTTTTTCTGTATCGCTCAGTGATTTAGTTTTTTTCATACCAACCCGAGAACGGTTAAGTGGCACCATCTTGTGAGTTATAATCGAAACGATTATAGCATAAAACTTTTATATAGAGAAAACAGAAACCGCTCACACAGATATTTTAAGAGAGACGTTGAAAAATTGAGAAAGGCATGGCAAAATGTATTAAATATGTTATTTAACTAGTCCACCCTGCTGTAAACAAACAAACAAAAAAACAGCTAAAACCAGCCTAAGCTGGTCTTAGCTGGTTTAAGCTGGAAGTTGCTGGTTTAGCTATCTCAGCCTGGGCAAGCTGGTTTTAGCTGGTTGGCCAACTGGTCTCCCAGCCTGACCAGCTAAAGTAGTGGTCAAAACCCCTCTAAAACCAGACTGCTGAACAGCATGACCAGGCTGGACGACCAGCTAAAATCAGCTTTGCGCAAAGCAAGCTGAGTTACATTATTATTAATAATAATTAATGTTTTCTAATCTTTCTAAAGAGTAATCTTATTGCTTGGCAAAATTCACATTGTGGTTGGCATGTCACAATAATCAACATATTTAAGCTCATCAACATTTAATGTCTAAGCATTTGTTGTTAAATAGGCGTGTAATAAGTGGTATAATGTGTGGTCATTATATAAAAATAAACACCTTCAGGTTTGGACAAGTGTTTATTTTTCTACATTTAACGGCTGACTGGACATAATTCATGCATTATTTAACACAATAACTTGTAACTATTACATTTTGGCTTTATGGTTGTCCAGTAAAGACACACACTGACTGACGAGCAGAAAATACAAGTAACACGCTAGTTGGAGGGCACCGATGGGAGTGGCTTAACAAATGGGAGGGGCTACGTCTTCTCTCTATTTGTTTGATTGACAGTCGTAACGAGGCAGAGGCTCTGCATACCTCGAGGCAAGTGCGAGAATTTACCCCAGCCGCAGCAACTTTAGGATGGAGCAATAGTCGAGAAAACTCGTCTCCTCACAGGTACGTCTATTCGTTTACATCGGAGACTGTCATTTGGAGAGGTTTAATCTGTCACCTCTGTAAATCCACACTTTGGATAAAATATTCATCACTCGAACCCTATCCTTCACATTTCCTGAGCTCCGTTCCCCGAAATTGTTCTGTTCTGCATGAAGGCTTATAACAGAAGTTTATTATGGCCGTGGGAAATGATGCGTGATGATGAGGCTTGCAACATGTTGCGCATGTTTTTATTTTGGGATAAATTGAGTCGCATCGAACACTGACGTCTTTCTCATGTTATACTTTTGAGGAAGAATGCAACTATTAACGTTTTATCAGAATAATATACTAGTAATTTGCATTCTGTAATGGACCATTCGACCATTCGCAGGTTTCTAGGACTACTACATCTGTCCTACCGAAGTAATATATCTGTTTTTTTTTAAATTGCCTCTTGTTAGGGAATAGATCATTATGAAGAATATGGACGGACTCTGATGCTTTTAATATGTGCACTATTTCCTGTTAAATAAATAAATAAATACAAAGCCACCATACAGTATGTAGGCGTAGCTACATTTATGTAAATGAGCCTGCTATGGGAATGCCAAACCTTATTATGTAAGTTAATTTAAAAAAGAAGTTACATAAATATAAATAAATATAAAAGACTGCTGATTTGTTTGAAATATGTTTAAAGTGCAAGTAACTATAGGCCTATGTGAACTATTAAAATGGTTTCCAGTATTTTGTAAAGTGAGAATATGAATATAAAAGACTGCAGTTTGTAAAATATTACTAATAATTTAGGTTATCACCTAGAATGATCTAGAAATCAGTGTATACGGACACCTTTTAGGTTTCTTGGTAAAGCTGCTTGTATGGAACTGCAAATTTGTTGGTGTACATTTATGTAAATGAGGTCATGCTGCTGGTGGGACTGATAAACCTTATTATGTAAAATGTAAACACTTTTTGTTTTAAATAGGTTTAAAGTGCAGTTTACAATGAGTGTACCATTCAAATGGTTTCCAGTATTTTGTAAAGTTTAGATATGAAGATAAAAGACAGCTGTTTGTGAAATATTACTAATTTAGCTTATGACCTAGAATAATCTAGAAAGTGTGTATGCGAATACATTTCAGGTGAAGTGGCATGTTGGTGGCACCAGTTTTTCACAATAATAATAACGATTCTTGATGACCTTTATAACAAAATATAAGTGATTTGTTGTAACTCATTCTCTTTTGCTGTTATTCCAGAGTGTACTGAAACATTCTGACAGAACATTCTCAGACATCTCTTTGAAGAACATCCTACAGAAGCTTGTTTCTCTGGCAACCGTGCTACACTACTATAAATATGCCAGTAGGTGGGTAGGAGCTTTATGATCTGGTATTATTTACCTAGTCATGTTCCTTTCCTATTTCTTTAATGTTCTTCATGTTCATCCGCCAACACATATTTCCCTTGCGTTTCATCTGAAGGTGCATGTAAATATCATCTAATTAGCCTGTAATGCGTTCGCTTGCAGTTCAATTATGACTTGGCATGAACGTTGCCATTCAGACAATGGCCGAGGCCCAGGGACATTCAAACACCGACGTCTTCATGTGTCACTTGAGACAGAGGGTGTCTTTTGTGAGTGTCAAACGCTTGATTGTTGAACCTGAGCCAATGGCTGATTTCCTTTTCCCATCTTGAAGGCTGAACAATGAACGTTTGTGTGAGTGTCGATGCTGGCCATAGAAAAAGAACAGAATCACCTGGCTGTAACCAGATATGAGCAGTGTCAGTGGCACCGGTTCTTTGCGATGCATAGGGTGATGAGATGTAAGCTCCGCCCTTTAGGAGTATTTGATCTGTCTGATTGGATGTAAGACATTAGCCATACCTCTGTTTGCTAACAGGCGAGCAGTTAGAGGGACAGGTGCAGGGTGAGAACACAGATGCCCTGAAAGACCCCATTATCAGT